AGATTACTACGTCATTTCTAAATTAATACTAGTAACTAATTAATCTGCTTTGAAATGATATTAGATACTGGGTATGGTTGGAAAGTATAACAATTGGTGTCTAATTTCCGTCTCGCAAACGGTCGTTGTCATTTGAAACGGTCGAATCGCAGAATAGCTAACTTTCAGTGTATCAGAACGCTCCATCACCACCGTAATTAATCGCGGTGTAGTGGGTTAGGGTATAGGGTTTTAGGGTGAAGCATTTTGACCCGGGTTCAAATCCCAGCTTGTGAGCTTGTGGTCTTTCTTTTTTTACAATCATCAGCCTGTACGTACTTTTACATCACGAAAGTAGCAAAAAATAAAGTTTGATTAACGGAAAACTTCAATCAAGTAGCGTACAGACAAAAATGCAGACGATCGTCATGAAAGCAGTCGATAGCACAATTCACAAAGGATCGCTTCGATCGCTTAATTTTCAGAAACTCCGGCTAGCACACGAAAATTATCGTAACGAATGCAACAATAAACTGTTCATTTCAATGTTAATGACTTTTTAGCTCACGATGTCCGTAGGTTACATGGAAATTTGCGATAGTTGACGGGGATCTCTCGCATTAGCGTTCAGGGAAGTAAACAAAGATGGCGGACGCGGCGTGGGTAGCAGTATCCCATCATCCCATGCGGTGTTTTTTCGCGGCACATTTGGCGTGTTGAAGCGGCGATAGCGCCGTGTCGCAGTCGAAATAAACTCAAAATAATGGCGCAGTACACAAGTAGAGACATGGTTTTGATGATTAAAAAATGAGTTGTATGAGAAATTAAACGTTCTTGGAATAAACAGGCTAAAAGAACACAAAAGCATGCCGCATTTGGCGGCTATGAACCGGCTCGCGCTTCTCATTACGTAGTGCCGATGTGCGCCCGACCGCTCGATCAACGTAAATTTCGGCCTCCTTTGTGGTTCAAAACAGACAACTTCGTCCCTTTTGGCGGCTTGATGTCTTGATATAAGAAATTTTCCGCCGATTTTGGTGATTTGTTTGGCATGTTTTTGGTTGAAAATGTGTTGCAACTTGACAATTTTTTTTTTCAAATAGCCGGCATTGGCTTTTCAAATAAGGGGCGTGATAAACAATGGTGTCAATGGGAAACGGTTTGGGTTTTCACAATTCTTTTCAATTAGCAGACTTTTTCTTATAAGCGTTTTGCAATTAACTGGCTGCCACTGTATATTTAGTATTTTTCACGATCCAGCCTTACATCAGAAACCCAAATGTTGCTCTTTATATGTTTTATACGTTTTCGGACCTCAAAATTTATCAAAAGTTATGATACGCTCGGATATGGCAAAATGGCATCGATCGTTTGAAATGGCATCGGCTGTTTGCAAGACGGAAACGCGCCGCGCCGCGGATGATTACAAAAATATTAGTACTAGAAAAATATTAGTACTAGAATTCTCTTTAAAATTGACTCCAATCTACTGGAGGATTGTATCGCTCTGTCAACACCAGTCGTTTCTGACGGAATTTCTTTTCTCTTGGTTCCACCCACGCGAAAATTGCCAATTTTGTGCCTTAATTTGGGCTTGAAAATAGTGATTTTTTTCTGTTAATTTTACAAAAATCAAAGAGTTTTAAGAAACAGAACTCAGCTAGTCTTGTAGGTGAAGAGAAATCTTTCTATCCCAACTCTATATTTTTTTCACATAAAACATTCTTTTCAACGTCTTTGTTAATTCCTCTGACACAGATGTGAGGAGTGCGGTAAGCAGTTTGCACAGCGGGCGTCGCTGATACTGCACGTGCGGACGCACACAGGAGAGAGGCCCTACGGATGTGAGGAGTGTGGGTTCAGAGCCGCGGCCCTTGGCAACTTGAAGCAGCACATGCGGACTCACACAGGCGAGAAGCCCTACAACTGTACGGTGTGCAGCAGGCAGTTCATCAGACGGGCAGCCATGGAGAAACACATGCTGACACACGCGCGGGACGTGTAAATAATTTGTAAATAATTTGTTTTGTTGTCATTTTATACTTTATTTGTTTATTTGCTTATATCTACTGAGTTTTGTGTAGAAATAGGATAAGTTGTGAATATGTTGTAAAATAGTGAAAGTAGGTTTTGTTGTTATTTCATACTTGATTCGTTTCTTATTTGCTTATGTTTCTTGAGTTTTATATGTACCAATAGGATAACTTGTAAATTAGTTGTAAATAGGTTACCTTATTGGAAAGTGTCAGTGAATAAAACAGTTGGTTGTGGAAAGAAGAGTCTCCCTACTCTTGCTATGGTTTGTTTAATGGCCTTTAATGTTCAGACCCATACACTGCACAAATAAACAAGTTATATTGTATACCATTGGGATTTAAGAGAATAACCTACTAGTAAGTTACGTTACGTACCACCCCGACAAAAATTTAGCGAGCAGGACGCCGGGCCGGGCCTGCATACAGACGCCGCTGAAACGCCGGTACATCGAGTCATATCCACAAATATTTCAATCGAAAAAACATAATCGCGGGAATCTGAAATGTTACAGGATTTCCCTTTAGCGGTAGTTTCTTATTTCGATCGGTGAAACAACGTGAAAAGAAACCCACGCTGCAGCTCCACGCTGCGCTGATCGGGCCGCGCTGATCGATCTCGACATTAAACTTCCGGTTTAATTGGGCTTCAGAATTACACGAAATACTCCATAAATACGCAAAGAAATATCCTTTTTTTCCCAAAAGATTTTTAGAATTGTGCATTTCTTCACTGTAATATCGCCATGTAGTCGCCGAAAATAACATTTTGGCGAATATTTCTAAACGAAGAAACTCGGCGTGCAAGTCAGTTTTTGCGGTCACATTAACCAATGGGAGTCGCGTATCGCGGTCACGTTATGCATATTCCCATTGTGCTGCGGGGATACAATAGTTTTTGGTGCTAATTCAGACCCTTCAGGGGTTGGTGGAAAAAGAGGTCCAGTCTGGACTGGTCTAGGGGGCCGGAAAAACCTATCCAGTCTGAAAAAAGGGTCTGCATGGGGTCTAGGCATGGTTTTGATAGAAAGTCCAAATAGCTGCTATTCAAGACACTTAACTATGTTGAGACAATGAACACGACATGAAAGTGTGAAGGGGAATATGATAGAGTAATAACCACACAGGCTAAGGACATTATATAGATATACATGTACAATGTACATGTACAATGTACATGTATGTTCATTCTTGTTTATACGCTAAGGCGAATTGCAGGGATGGCAAAGTTTGCCAGACAAATGATTGACTACTTGTATATAATGTGCTCAGAATTTTTTAAAACTTCTCAAAGAAATATTGGATTTATCCCATGTTGAATATAACCTCCTGGGTTTACCCATGGCATCTCATTTATGCAAACATTTTGAGTACTAAAATTCATCCCAGAAGTGAACGTTTAGGTTTCTTTCCTTCTGAATTCTTATGAAATTTTTAGTAGTGGCTTTTAGCTGAATACAGTCTGATACCAGGACCAACACAATGTACAAGCAGTTGTAGAACATTTGGAAGCTATCTAAAGAGCCAGGGTTTCCAGACAGTCCTCCACTTAGAACATAACCTCCAAGTCCAGGCAGATCTACAGTAGGGTTGGATATTGTTTTACCGACTGGAAACAATCAGCTTGAGGATTAGGGGATGAATGTTGCCATCCAACTGAATTTAGCATCAAGTGTTACAGGAACCCCCATGCGGACCCTTTTTTCAGACTGGACCTCTTTTTCCGACCCCTAGACCAGTCCAAGTGACCAGTCCAAGTAAATATTTAAGTGACCGTTATAAAATCAAGAATTACAGTATCTCAGACGGTTTTGGCCAATAAAGTAACTAATTACGTCATTAATGACGTCATAATGACGTCATATTACGTCATAACGACATTTTTGTATGATAAATTTTTACTAGCACACCATCCTATAAAAATTACGCTGTACTGTCCTGACTAGACAAGTAGCTGCCTTTTGTTCATTGCTTTCCTTTGACACTGCGTGCAATTAGCCTCGAGTTTGCAAATAAAGCATACATAGTGATATTTCTCCTGTCGGTTGATTGGTTTGTGTGTACAGGTATGAGATGGAGGGTGCAGACTTGTGTATTTCTGGTGCAACTGTATTTCTGATTTACTGACAAGGGAAGAAGAATGATTTGTCTGAACGTGAACGATGTAGGTCTTTCTGGGATAGGTGGGTGGCCCTGAAAAGGGCCGGGGTTCTTGGTCTAAAACACAGACTGATTTTTCAGCCCTTCAATGAGTTCAAGCATAGCTGTCTCTAGGTGAGCGGGTCTGAAGTCTTTTCCCAACTTCGTAGCCTCGCTTTGCACCATATTGGTCAGGTCACTTAGAGTGTCGTCTGGGATTTGGAGCATAAGTTTACACCTTTTGTGCATGCCAGGATCTTCAAAACGAAGGTTGTTCCAGTCGCCTATATGCCTGAATTGGACTCTTCTCACGGCCCGTGACGTGACATCGGCGACCAGAGACTGCAGTCTGCCGTCTCTTTTCCAGGCCAAAGCTGCAGACATCAGCGTGTCGTGAAAAGACGCGTTGTCCCGAAGCTTGACACCTCTCCAACCCCTTTTCCCGTCAGACAGGCTGGCGCTCCGAACGTCATGATCACCCTTGCCCCATCTCCTGTAAATTGCGCGGTTTACCTGCCGAGAGAACCGCCTGCACACAGCAAACCTTTCGATCATATCTCCGTCTGGTAGTGGCCTGATGAAGTCCAGGTATGAGGAATACAGATCAGTGGTTCTAAGGAAATCGCGCTGATCATCTGTAGGACGAACACATGCACTTAGCCACTGATCCAAGTGCATAAGCGGAAGTCTTGACCGAGGCATTTTTTCTGACGCTCTGTTCTGCTGACGTTTTATAAACAGGTTTTTCGGACCTCGGCGTAAACAAGTCATTAACAGCATAGCCAATGACGGCTAGCCGCAGCACACAGACGGAATGTTCTCTGTCACGTCCGCTCACCAGCTCGAAAGGTACTAGTATATCGTACACTGCGCGGAAAGCCAGATTTCCACACGTTTACTTGCTTGGAAACAGTGGTGAAACCTGACGTGTCCTTGGCGCGTACATGAGTTTCAACTTGAACTGACATTACCATAGCGACAATAATCTTTGAAACTAGCAATGTACAGATTTCTTTGGTCGGTCGACTTTCTGCATATATTAACGCCTCATTAATTCGGCGCCATATTGGAGCTATAGTATAGAATGGGCAAAAACACAATTGGTGATCGGAACTTACCAAAGTTTTTCAAACATGAACCCATGCATGGGAAGGTTCCTTGCCATGTTCAACCGGTTTTTCCAGTTGCTCATATATACGTGTTAACGATTTTGTTAGTTCATTGTGACGCTGACGGAGAGTGGTGGATGTCACTCGAAACGTCCGGAATTTATCTCCGTAATTTATCCAGTAGTAGAGTTTGAATTTTCAATGAATAAACCAATGAAGCACGGAAGGATGGAAAGGCGCAAGACCACTTCGAGACCTAGCCTCTACCAGGCGTCGGGTGGTGGCTGGAAAGAGTAGAAATTGGCAAAAATAGAGAGATCACACGCTAGAGGAGTTTGGCCGCGAGAGAGAACATTTTGCCGCAAAATATTCTCTCTCGCGGCCAAACTCCACTAGCGTGTTATCTCTCTACTTTTGCCAATTTCTACTCTTTCTAGGCACCTCCCGAAGCCTGTTAGACTCTATTCGAGACCTACAGTTTGTTTCATCTGAGCTGAGAGATTGCGAATCGGCATACAACACTGGAGATTTTGGAGGCGCACATAATACACGGAACCTCCTGAAGAACATTTAGAAAAGAAAACAATCAAAGCACAAACACCATTTACAACTAATAAAGGCAAGGAAATATGGAAACATGAAGGGGAGGGGGGTACGGGGGGGGCTGTTAAAGGGAATACCGGACCGTGATGCTGTTTTCCATTACAAAAGGTATATTGGTGATATTGGAGGCGTGCCCGGGTGCATTGGGCCGGCCAGCGCATGCGTACTTGGTTGGGCCAAATGGGGGAGATAATTACATAATTGCGTGATAATTGCCGCTGAATTATGCACCAGTCATTCCCAAAACAAAGGCACACATCTCGAGTTTGCACGAGTACACACAAATTTCCACACCACGTACACACAATTTCCCACCGTAGGGCACGTCCCACAGAGAACACATCGCATGTACAATTTGAAAACCTGTAGAAACTCGCGGAAACTATGGATTTCCTAGCTAGTGTACACAGGTATCCACGACGGAAATCTGTCTTTCCACGCTGTGGTACGACCACCAAATTTTCAGAGGATGATAAACACGCTAAAATTTATCTGTTCAACATACAAATAAATGGAGAAAATCAAAACACGCAGAATGAAGCTGGTTGCAGCTCCCTGCATCAGAGATTCTAATCTTATAGCTTAGCTAGCGGTCAAGCAAAGTAAAGGAAGTAAATTTTTCGATAATCAGCCTTATTGGTGTTCTTGTTTCGTATGTTTTCGCCGGAAATGTTAATGTTGACTTGAAGAGCATGAGCATCGTGTTATCAAAAGTTCCCGGATGTATCCATTGTGGTTCAGCATGGGGGAAAATGATCATATTGTTATCGCTTTACAAACAGGCGCCGTGCTAGTCGCACAAGCGAAATTCTGTAAAACGTCGCCTAGTTATGAATTCATTGAAGCTTAATCTATCGGAAAATAGCACTCCTTATGGACTTAATGACCCCTTTGATCTTAAACGTCTAGCGAGATAATAGGCGTTAAACAAAAAGTGAGGCGTAAATGACAATAATTTCAATCAATACGACGTGTTTTATTTCTTGAACCTATTCAATACTTTTAGATACAGTACAAGAACTGGACCGTAACATTTCAATTTCAGAATTTACCAAGAGTGCTATGAGGCAAGCATTACTTTATACGTTACAGCAAAGAGGTAAGGCAAAGCAAATCTAGTAGAAACTGGCCAATGTAACAATTGTAAAGAAAACACAAAATTGAACGTTTACATCTGTACTGTGTAGATGTTAAAAATATGTTTAACAACAGCTACCCTGGCTTGTAATTCCTTCAACACTACATAATTATCTGTGTTATTCTTAAATGTATCACTATGTTTTTACTAAACTGTATTGTGAATGCTATATCTGCACATCACACGCTTGTAGTCTTTCTTCCGTCAGTGTTCACGTGGTTCTGTAGTTCCAGCTGGCAGAACTGCTCTCTTAGGCCGCGCCTGTAGCATAGAGGAAAATGGTCGACAGAGTGTTTATTTGGTGCGCGTGCTGGATATGGGATTAACCGGCTAATTGGTCATATTACAACAAGAAGACGGAACAAGATAAACAAGAAGACGGAACATTGATAAAGCCCGACCCCATCCCACACCTTATCAAGGCGTGAGCTACGACATACCATATGGACATTCTTGTTCGTGATCTTGAAGCTTCGCAGGTGGCATTAGGTGTGAGGCGCAGAACCTGCAGGTTACAAGGGGCTGTCCTGTGTAGCTCTGGAAATATATGATTATCTTAGTTAAGAAATGTCTTTCATGCTGTGTTCCGGCCCGTGCAATAACTAGCGGTACGGCACGGGGTTCTATCTAATTACGGCACGGGCTTCCAAAATGAAATGGACGTACCACAAATATAAGAAACACGATATTAAAGCCTGACCTTTCGGCACTTGACAAGGTGCCAGATAAGACGTCTAGCATGGATGACATGTGTGTTGTTAAACGGGCAGATGACCAGTTGATTGGGCCCGGAAACAAATCTGACGACTGCCGGCGCCATTCCTCCTATACGTAATAAGAATTATGAAAACAATCATTTTTCATTAAAAATGCAGTCGGTACCGTTACCAACAACATTTCAGCTTTACACCGGCAAAAATTGTACGTAAAAAAAATCATCAAGATATCGACCTTTACTTACCCCAAGCTTGAAATCTGTAGCTTCTGTCTTGTCGGGTGTCGTACCACGTCTGCATGTGCAAGTGTCAACTAAGTTTGGAGCCGTGCGTGGCTGTGCTTTTAGGCAATAACATCAAAGGGCCTTCCGCCGGGACGGATAGGCGTCCGTATCAATTCCCGCCACTAATACAGACCGTCTTTTTTGTGTCAGACAACTGTGAACTGTTTTCTTCAGTAGTCAATCATCTAATTAGCCAAAGTAAAGGCTGTAGACTAGTCTTGTATCGAAATTGATTCGGTAAAAGCGTTTATCAGTTATGACAAGAAGTTCAGATGTTCAGTTATAATACGACTTTTGTTGCCTTGATTTTACACATTTAGGAAGACGTTGCGTCACAGCCTTCTAACAGACCGTTATTTGCATAAAAGCCACCATTCTTGTAAAATCATGCATGACCTGTTTATCGCAAGTCAGGAATGTCGTTGTCGCTATACTAAAACCTGTTCTCTGGAATGTCCATTATCTTAGATAAGATAACTGCTTTATTGTTTGCGTGAGGTGAGATAATAATAAGACTAAGGCCTAACGTCGGCTTTGAGTTCCCGTGGGAAAATGTTTGTAAAGACGGCCGTCCAGATGACTGTCTGAAGTTAGGTTTAACTTCTGCTTAAAGCCCAAAGTTATCATTGTGTCTGTTCATTGACTTTCATTCTTTCGGCCGTTTGACGTTTCCTCATTGTTTTACGTTAATTTTGTGACACTGATAATGGTGATATTTCTCTTGTCGGTTGGTTGGTCCGTACTTATCAATTGGTCGCCTCCCTGCCACCTGGTTGATTCTCCTGACAAAATTAGACCTTGCGATTGGTCATTTTTTGCCGCTCCAGTGGTCATCATTTCCAACACGGTATATTTGAACTGTTTAAAACATGCAAACCGGCAAGTTGACTGGTAAAGGACGCGAATGGACGGCCGATTCATTGTTGTGAAGAACGTCACAGGCGACATTTGTTCCAGAAGGCAACGCGCGCAGCCTGCCAGTTCGTCAAGAAAGAAGACTTTTATTTCGTCGAATACACGATTGATATGTTTTTCTTTCTGTTGTTGTGCATTTCAGGCCACACTGGACATAGTCTCTGTATTGCCGCGTGGGTACATTGTTTCGTAGTTGCAGTTGCAGTTTAGTGGTGCGTACTTGTGTGTAATTTGTCGGGGTGGAAAGTGTGTTTTTTTCCATCTCTTTTGTGGCCTAGAAATAGGCCGGGGTTATAAGTCGAGCAGTGGCGGTCGATTTACTTTCTGGTACTAGTATGTAACTGATTTTGGTTCTTTGGAAGTAGAATAAGGGGGGGAGTGATCTTATCAAAAATGATTTAACATCCTTGCCGCGAACAGGTGTAGACTGGCGCCTAAAACGGACGGTTATCTCGTAACGTGTGAATGAGAAAGCAGACCAACATTCCTGTTAAAATATGGAAAACCTGATTATATTTTTTCTAACACTTTCTTATCTTTAAATGGAGACCGATTGAAATACACATGTAACTAAACTTATTCCGCTCAATTTGTTGTTTTTTTTTAAGAAAAGGTTTTGTTGAATGACTTTGAAATAATGAAGTTTGCACACAATCGTTGTCTTATGATTGCTACAGCTCCTTTCAGGGTATGTGAGTAGCCTTGAAAAAGGCTGGGGTTATCTTTAGCAGCGGCGGTCAGAGGGAAAACATGTACTTGGTGATGGCCTTGTTGCCCTCGCTGACCGCGTGCTTGGCCAGCTCGCCCGCCGGTAGCAGGAGCCGCACGGCGGTCTGAATCTCGCGGCTACTGATGGTGGTGCGCTTGTTGTAGTGGGCCAGACGAAAAGCCTCTGCGGCGATGCGCTCGAAAATGTCGTTAACGAAGGAGTTCATGATGCCCATGGCCTTGCTGGTTACGCCGGTGTCGGGGTGTATCTGCTTCAGCACTTTGTAGATGTAGACGCCGAAGGTCTCCCTCCTCTTTCTCCTCCTTCGTCGCTTCTTGTCTCCGGCGGGCCTAGCTTTATCGACGGCTTTTCCACTAGGCGGCATGACGGCGTTCTTGACGAAATAGGTAGCAAGGAAGAAGTGCCCCGCACCGGTTTGCCTTTATATCCTGGGTGAATGCAAATTTTTGGATTATCTCGTCCGAGGTGCGGACGTCGGAGAAAGTCTGATATTGAGCTCTGTGGACTGCCTTCTGATTGGTCGTTCTCTAAAATCAGAGGTTCCTATTGGTGTCTGTTGAATCCCATATTTGAAGCAAGCCAGGTACTTTGGCTGGGGAGGGGGGAGCGCTAGTTCAGTTTACATTTTTAACAAGAAAATCAGCGTCGAAGCATGAGGTAGATGTACAACAAGCTGAATTGCACTGATTTTTACACTCGATGTAGTATAGGAACAGGTACCTCAACTTAAAAAAAAACACTCAAGGAACGCTTTACAAAATACCTAACTATGGACATAAAGTAACAAGAGCGTCCTGAGACAGTGCTGTTGGATGGATTTGTTATAACAGGTTCATTCCGTGTGTTTTGATTTTCTCCATTTATTTCTATGCAAGTCTTTATTTGTCTGGACTTTAGAACCCCTTTAATGAAATGGGCCTTTATTAAAATGGTGTGAGCGACAGTAGTTCTTTTGTAAGGATGTGAGTGGCCCTGAAAAGGGCCGGGGGTTCTGGTTCTTGGAGTTTCAGCATCTGTGATCTGATACAGTCGGCTGGTCTTCGGAAGTCGGATGTAAGGTTTGCGATCGTCGAAGGAAATCAGCTCCTAACCTCTCACCATAATCGAACAAAAGCTCCACTCCTTGTGTAATGCCCCGTTTAGCTATAAGGAGAACTGCCGGGTCGGGTTCGCCTCCTCGTATTGTTACGAGCTTTAAATTGGCGTTGTTTCTGCTGTGGTTGATCAGCGAGGCCGGGTTGTAGTCTGAGGCACTTCCATCAATGACAAAGGTGGGCGAAGCACCTTTGGTATACACCCAGAGTAGTTTGGCCTGCTCCCCGTCTTTTAAAGCGGCTAGTCGTTCCGTTGCAACTGCATTTGAGATCCTTTCTCCTCTATACTCGCAGACAATACTGCCACGGGAAATGGCCTCGGAAGCGATGGCACAGATACCTGCCGGCCTGAAGTCTCTAAGGACTTGAACAGAGCGGAACGGGAGTGGTCTGTCCGCCGGGGGTGTCCTCAGATATGCCAGCATTTCTTCCCTCGTTGTGTTGTGTTGTGGACATCTGCCTGGCCTTGCGATTCGTAGCCCACAATAACCTCTTGCGCCTCCGTGCAGTTTCCTTGGCGCTACTAGGACTTCGTGGTTTCGTCGATTTTTCGAGAGCAGCGCACAAGCTATTTGCCGGTCGAAACGCCTTTCCGTGACCATTAGGGACGTCTGTGCGTCGTTATCTGACCGGAGTTCACAGTACGCCTTATGCGATTGGCGTAGGGCGCAAGTAGTTACGAAGTCTTCTTCCTTACCGGTAAGAATGATGCAGTCTCGAAGAAATTCGCTCAGCAGCGGAAGCTGAACTTTTCGTTTACGACGTCCGTTAACAACGTCTCTGATATGAGACATGGCTAAAAAGACAATGTCTTGAGCACGACGCGTCGAGAAGTCTTGCTTGAAAATGATTCACACTAGACCGATCCTGACAGTTCCAACAAAGATGACATGGTGATTAGCAGTTGGAGCAATGAGGGACTCGCTGCATTCATTTTGCATTCCCACGTTTTGACGGAGATGGGCGGGGCTACAGTATCTACTGGTACAAGTCGGGTAGCAACAGCACGTCTATAATTGATTCTTTGAGCGACTGAAAGACCCGCCGCTCCCTATCAGCTGCCGCCAATTCTAGACCAAACAACATTCAGAGAGATAAAGAAAGAAGACACGCTGGTACTAGCACTTTTCCAACACGACATGTTCGGCGTTAGCCACAATGCTGAAACGGCGAGTGTGTGAAAAATTCTGATATTGAGAAATAAACTTATCTGTAAGTCTCCACCATACTCCTGGGTGGATATAGAGAGATATAGCTGACCAGAGGAGTAAGCCGGCCATAGGGGGAGACATTGCCCACGCCACACGGAGTCGCATATTGTAACTCTCTGGCCGGCTAACTCCCCTGGCATACTATTCCCTTTATTTTGGCCAATTTCTACTATTTTTCCAGCGATCCGCGGTGTCTGGTGGAGGCTACTTATCTGTTTAGTAATACCCTATTTAGAGTGTTAAGGCCACTATCAGGACCTTCATAACGGCACAATTACGTCAAGGTTACCTTTCCTTGATGGGCACCTGCCGGACAAGGTGGCGACGCGCTCAAGCCTTTATTACATGTACCAAGTTGTGAGTGACATAATTCTTTTGTAAGTATGTGGGTGGCCCTGAAAAGGGCCGGGGTCCTGGTATCTTGTGCTGCTTTCAGTATCGTCAGAGGTGATCTGGTCAACTAGGCTCGTTGAAGAACGATTTTTTACGGTGAGATTTAGTTAGGCAATAGAAGCCCTTCCAAAAATCCCCAAACGTTCCGAGACGTTTGTTCCGCCAGCGCCTTGCCCACCTTCTTCTCTCGTCGTTTGTTTTGACAGGGATGAGAGTTTGAGGAAATACCATTTGCCGTAACTCCAGGCAAAATCAGCTCCTTGTAGGCCCAGACATTTTGTCTCGCCGGTCGCACGTCATTCTGTGACGACCTGTCTGCGCCTTCCATCTTTCTAGACTCTAAGGTCGAAAGTTGGACGATGCGATCCGACCTTTGTTACACGCCTGCGTCATTCAATCTGATTGGCTCAGATATTCCGTATTCTCTGATTGGTTGTGCGCGCCCCGCTGATGCATATCTGCGTAAAGTACAGCGACTTTCGGCAACCATGACCACCTGTTGGTATCGTTTATGAAGCAGGTAGTCTATAGGTAAGTCTTCTAAATGGTGACAATATTTCATTAGTTGCATCTCAATATCAGTCGACATTGGAAAGGTCCCTAAAATACCACGAACACGTCATTTGATGATTTCGTATGTTATCCAAGAAATGCTCGTTTAAAGCTTAAATGTGTGTATTTTGTCTCTTATGCTCGTAATACCGTTTTTTTTTCTAACTCTGAATAGAACTTACCTAGACTAAGTAACAGATACATGAAAACCACGACATGATACATGAAATTTTGCAAATAACAGAATACTTTATTCTTTGTATTAGCCAGAGCTATCAACCCAGGATTGAGGCATTCAAAACCTCATTTTTCTCCAGAACTATCGCAGAGTGGAACTCGCTGCCACCAAGTACAGCATCATCACTAGATAGTTTTAAACAGTGCTTAGAGCTAGAAGTCCAAAGGTTAGGTGTAACAAGTCGTTCGGTGTAATGTAGCCAGCTGCCGCCGCGCCGCGTGCTTGCGAAGCTGGTGTGTTACGCTGAAGGGCGGTTTACCGGCTATAAAGATACAGATACAGATACCGTCCGTTTTCGGGTAGGTGAAAGGGGCCTGGATTTGGGGTTTAGGAAAACTGGCTCTGAATACTTATCTTGTTGTGAGACAGGAATTTTTATTACGTGTGATTTGATAAATTTACGTGAAGTGAGAAAGCAACAGGTGTCCGTGTTGCGTCTTTGATATTCCGTATTAGCCGATTGGTTGTGCGGGCCGTAATTAATTGGGACCGCTACCAATTGTCTTTGGAAAGCATGCGCTGAAAATATATTCCTCCCCCAAGACACATGACTGTCAAGACACGTTCAAGAGAAAGCCATGGATGGCATCGTTCCAGCGAACTTCGAAAGCTGGGCAGGGACGCTGTTAATATCTCAACAGTCACAAGACGTAGATATTCTTCTCCTTGAGCTCCATGTAGAGTTAACGGCAAGGGGGGCTGATTATAGCATGCCTCCTGGAGACGTGGCTCTTTGGGGGTGCCCGTACGCTGCTATCTTGTTTTATCGTAGTGAAGATTTCTGGTATTCCTTGATAAAGATGACCATCGACCATCCCGACGTCCCTATCTTGGTCTTCGCGCCCGACACATGCTTTCCTATTCCATAGACGGCAGGAAAGAAGAGACGGCACACAATTTGGTACGGAAAACTTTATTATGTCAAAACGAGCGATCTCATACACTTTCGTGCATCCACCTCGGAGCTATTACCGTTTCCCGGGTCGACAGGTGGTCACCCAGGATATCAGCTAGCAAAATCGAGGACGTTGCTGCCTTTGTTGATTAGGTTTATTACACGTCTCGTGTTTGTGCTAATACGCAGAGATGAGATCGCTTGGTACGGGGAGAGATCTCATGGGGTCTACTGATTCCGACAAGCTGTTTTCATCTGGGGGGCTGGTACAAAGTCGTGCAACTGTGAGAGGGCATTGTTCTCGTCTATGCCACGCCTACCTGAAAGGAATTTTCTAATCATTTGATAATCAGTTTATTGATATTCTATATTTGGCCTCTTGTTTCTAGGCTGTGCACCGTGGCTATGAACATATGGTCGGACAGGTGACAACTGACTTCAGTCGTCTTGGAAGCGAGGCAGGCGGAGGAAGACTCAGATTGAAAGGCTTCTCCATAAATTGAAAACTTGGAGCCTGAAGAAATTGACGCGGCGAAAGGTAAGCTAGATGTCTTTTTGTCCTGTTAAAACGACATCTGCCACTTCAGAAGCAGACCATCGTGTCAACTGCTTCAGAATACAACCTGCTAATGATGAACGACATTGGTTTCAATTACGTGACAAATTGTGTTGTTTTCAAGCATGTTATATTTACCTGCCTCATAAAGAAATGTACTTGTATACTCATAACACACTTTTGTCTCTTATGCAGGCATGCCGAGGTGGTCCGAGCGAACGGTTCACGTCCGCTAGTGTACAGCTACAGCTCTTCCCGGCAAACTTTAGGTTAGCATGTGATCGTTCAGTATTTTTCAAGGTTTCGAAACCTCATGTCATTTTCTAGTTTGATTTTATTTGTAAAGATGTTATGTTTTAGGACTTGTTTTCACAGAACGAATTGAAGGGAATTTGAAATTAACACGGCTGTATCGTTTTCTTCCGACATTCAGATTTTTTGGGAGAGTTATGGACAGCATAATCCCAGCAGACCTTGCCCAATGGACAGGGACGATATTAGTATCGAAACAAACACCGAACATCGACGCTCTGCTCAATCAACTCGAACAGCATCTTACATACCAAAACGCGGATTTCTCACTTTTAGATGAAGATGTCGAGATTTGGGGAACTTACTACGCACCCGTCTTAATGTACCGTCTGGATGATTTCTGGACTACCGTCACTACGTTACAACAGAGTTATCCCGAAGCCGATTTCCTGGTCATTTGTCATTGCAAGATATTGTAGACTGGAGGAGATAAGGCTTGAAAGAGTAAACAGCATTTTCAATGGACATGATGTCAAATAGCGTCAACTCTGAACGTGCAGTTGAAACCACGTGGCATTGCCTGTCGTTAACTATATAAAACGTGACAGTTTTTAGACACGTATTGGTAAGAAATGTGATTGAACTCCGCCTAAAACATGAAAAGGTTTCCGACTGACTGCTGTCCTGCAGTGTAGAAATAGACTTACAAGATACATGTATTTCGGTCAGAAACCACCAGGACGTCTTAACATTAAGAAAGCAAGAACTTAGTGAGTGATTTTCCGTAACATCAGCCCCCGACAGTCATCAAGCAATGTAATTGCACGGAAAATGACTTGTTGAAGTGACTCTGTGACAAGAGAGTTTATTGCTACAGAAAGCGAACCGAACGGAATATTCAATGTTCGTTCCAATCTACTATGTTATCCATGTTTCATTCACGTTCACATGTTATATTGAGTTGTTTCCATGCACAAAGAAGAGCCGTTAAATAAAGAACTATTTGTATTAACCATTGCCTCGTCTCTCATGCGCTAGCTTAAAATTCGAATTATCTTATGCTATTGTATTTTATCATCTTCGTGATTCTCGAATAGAGCTGACAATGAAGGCCTTTCATAGACGCCATAATAATTGTCCTATAAATCTCGGCTTCTCCGCTCTCTGGGTTAATTGGATTAGTAGTAGAACGTTGGCTTCTTTAACAGACATGCACTGTAATCTAACATAGCGCATATGAAAAGCCCCAGTCTTTGCATTAACGTGCGCAGTAATGAAGACAGTACATTGACAGACACACTATGGTATAAGACTGACAAGAGTGGACCGATCCTATGTAGCGATTTTATGTAGTGTGGTGTAGCGTATCTGTAATCTTACATGAAAGAAGTTTTTGCTGTCACGAGTGTTATATGGGTTATTGTCTGAAATTCGAGTTTTCTTGTCACCATGCCGTCGGATGGAAAAGCAGATCTTCACAAGCACCGGTCTTCCAAACAAAGAAAAGAAAAACAAGAGTAAGTCTACATGTTAATGTCAATAGGCCTACTTTTAAAACAAAATGGTGTGCAATTTCGTCTGATATAGCCGTCGAACCATTCGTTCAAGTGCACGGGAGACAAGGCAATTTGTGGCCCTAGTAGTCTGTGAATTTCTTTAGAGGAACTTGCTCCATTTGACGCTTATTATTTTGCACATGATTTTTTATCCGACTGTTGTCTAGAGACGAATAGGGCTCCAGCCACGTGAAACTGACTTACTTCCCCGCCCCTTGCATAAACATAAATACATCGACCTTTGCCATGAAACGACTTTAAACGTGACACAATATTTGTAACGAATACCGCCCGAGTTCCGGCCGAATCACCCTGGGACCCCAAGGGGGTAACGCGAAGAAAAAGTTTAATAATGACTAAAGAAAACGACTTCAGACCCTGGTAGGTTTCTCGGTTTCGCCAGACGGTTTCACGGTTCTTAGCACAACCAACCAGCGACAGGTATAGTGACGTTTCCATTCGCGCCCGCACGATCCACTAATTTGCATTGTTATCTCCTATAAAGCTAAGCTGTCACGAGTGTATGGTTCATTCCTGAAGCTCGAGTTGTGTTGTCATGGCGTCTGATCGAAAAGCTGCATTAGGCAAGCACCGGTGTAAAAGGAGGAGAAGGAGAAGGGAGACCTTTGGCGTACATATCTACAAGGTGCTGAGACAGCTGCACCCCGACATCAGCCTCTCAAAGAAGACCGTTCTCATCGTGGACTGTTTTTTAACAGACATTTTGGAGCGCATCGCAGAAGAGGCTTCTCGTTTGGCTACCTACAACAGACGATCCACCATCAACAGCCGGGAAATCCAGACAGCCGTGAAACTTATCGTGCCTGGATATCTCGCCAAGTTTGCTGCCATTGAAGGGACCAAAGCCGTCCAAAAGTATACCAGCTCCAAGTGAATCCATCGACTGCAAGATAACCCCGGCCTTTTTCAAGGCCACCCACATCTCACAGAAAGGGCTGTATCAATCACACAACCAAATAATAAACTCTTGAACTTACCTATTTTCAACGCACAACTACACTGTTTGTCTTTTGTTCGTAAGATGAGAAATATGAGTAAAAATCGGCTGTTTGACTATTGCGTTTTGTTTGTTGTTGTTGTTGGTGAACCATTGTTTATGCATGAAAAATCGGCCTGCATGTTACCTTAGTACTTTGGCCGATTTCTACTCTTTCCAGCGGCTTCCCGAAGCCTGGTACGGGCTAATGCCGTCTTAGTAGATTATAGCGAGAGTTGCGGGGAAAAACAAGTGAGCTTGCTACATCATGGGTGTGTGAGAAAGAAATGGAATCAACTTTTGCATATATTAATGGGAAAGTCTGCCTTTCTCTCTGTCCAGTCATCCAATAACGATTTGTTACAAGACCCCATTCTTCAACGTACGGTACGCGGTCTTCTGAAATGTGTATTCGCGAGGAAAAGTGTAAACAAGTATCATGTGTCTCTGCATAGACGACATCTGTAATCAGGGCTCGTCTGCCCGGTGAGTGGAAGTCTCTGATTGGACGATTGGCTAATCCTACCGGATCGACAAAGAAGAAAATATATTCTCCAAAACCATAGCTTCTCCGACATCAGAGTGAAGCCGCTAAATGCACTCTGTAGCGGGCCAGCTCGCCCGGCATGTTATCTATCAATTTGGCCAATTTCTGCTCTTTCGAGCCTTTTCTCGAGGTCTTCTGATAGAGGCAGATTATTTTTTGTTGTTGTAGTTTCCGTTTCTTACTGCTCGTTTATCACCTGTCCCTGAAATCTATGGTTGCCATAGATACATCGCGATCGGCCTATCATATTTTCCCTGACGTCTCTATGCCCCTCCCAACACCCCAACCCACACACGTAGGTGTGACATTTTGTCACGCCACAAGGAGCATATGTAATTAGTTAACAGTCATCCTCTCAGAAGCGGCTTCAAGACTAGACTTGAGACGATGGATATCGGACATCTTTCCCCCGCCAACCCACATGAGTGGGTAGGTTCAGTTCTCATTTCAACACAAACCCCAGCCTTACCACAACTTCTTTTTCAACTGGAAACGGATCTGATTGAAATGGCTGCTGACTTCACTATACCACTCTTTGATGTCGTTCTTTGGGAGCAGACTTATGCACCTATAATCTTCTACTCTACCCTGGACTTTCTGCAGACGATTACAACTCTACACACAGCTGAACCGCACGTCTCCTTTTTGATAATCGCACCTGGTGGAACATTTTGAAAACCAGAAATCCCGGCCCTTTTAAGGGCCACCCAAATCCTAACGAAAGAACCGTATCTTTCACACACAATCGTGTTTACGTCAGTGTATGTGTGTATGTGTGTGTGTGTGTGTGTGTGTGTGTGTGTGTGTGTGTATACAAATCTGACGAAAATTCAATTGCAAGGGCTCGCAGGCCATGGCCTAAGAAGCCACTATCTCCTGAGCCGGTCGGTGAGAATGATAATATCTTAAATGAAGGTAAGACGCCTAGATTGTCAATTGACGGAAGTCTTTAGTCTCCAACAACGACGCGAGTTCAAAAACAGTAAACTGTAGCCAAATTGTGAGTTAGTTTGTGAGTTAATTTGTCCGCGCACAGGAAGGGGATTGGGACTTAACCCTCTTGCGGACTGACTTTTCTGGCCAATTATTACCTTTTTTGTTGAATTCCACGATCCGTATCCCCAGTGGTAAGGCCTGTGAGCCGATAGAAAGCACAAAGGTAAAGTTAGCAGGTGGTTCTCAGTGTTTTCGCAAGGTTTCTAAACCTTTTTGTACCAACCGCTAATGATATGTAGAACTGTTGCCTGGGATGTGCTAATTAGATTACTTGCACATTAGTAGCTGTACTACCCGAAAACGTCTGACGGGATGTGGTCACGTCAATCTAACAAACTGTTGCCAACGTGCAAAACAAAACATCGACGGTCTTCTTAATTACTTCAACGAACAAAGTTTAGGTTAGCAGGTAATCGTCAGTATTTTTAAAGGTTTCAAAACCTCTTTGCAGTAATTATGTTTTCATCACATGCCTCGTGTTCTTGTAAACTGTCCAACGGAATCTGCGCATTCCGACAAATTGTTGTCAGCTTGAGTTGATCAGTTTTATTGCTCTGTTATATAGCCCCTTGATACTAATGGCAAAGGCCACGCCGTACAGGGCTCTGTTAGCAAGATCTGTCACGACAACTAAAAGCGATCCCACATCCACCAGCGGAGGACAGACAAGGCCCACGCTCCTTCACAGCGTACTAATAAAGCGTACTATTGAATATGCAAACGAGTCCTTTGTGTAATACATCATACTGCCGCATGAAGGCTTTGGAGCCCGGGTTCGTCAAACAGACACATAGCATGTTTGGAGAAGCAAAGTATCCTTTGAGAAGAAAACTATCATGTTTTTTCTACTATCGTAAGTGGGCCGCGTTGCTACCAAGTACAGACGGGGGGGGGGGGGGGCGCAGCATCCTTCCTTGGTAGGTTTAAAGAACGCTTGAAGTCATCATTGGGTTGGCAGATGGTCGCCCAGTTGATCTGCTGGCAAAATCGATAACGTTGCTGCCTTTGTTGATTCGGTTTATTACGTGTTTGTGCTAATACGCAGAGATGAGATCGCTTGGTACGGGAAGAGATCTCATGGGGTCTTGTCATTCTGACAAGCTGTTTTTATCTGGGGGCTGGTACAAAGTAGCACCGGTTGCGCAACTGTGAGATGGCATTGTTCTCGCCAATGCCACCCCTGCCTGAAAGGAATTTTTCCTAAAGGTTGATAATCAGTTTATTGATTTTCTATATTTGGCCTCTTGTTTCTAATGACGTAGGCGGTGCCTATGCACCGAGGCTATAAACATATGGTCGGGCAGCTCACAACTGACTTGGAAGCGATGGAGGCGGAGGAAAACTCAGAGCGAGAGGCTTTCCCACAGATGGAGAACTTGGAGCCTGAACAAATTGACGGCGAAAGGTAAGCTAGATGTCTTACATCATTAGAAAGCTTTCTAATTACCCTTTTAATTGATATTACATTTGTTAAGATCGTACATTTATTGCTCATGTGCTAAATCTATTTTTTTCTGAGTAGTTCGTGAGCAAAAAGCCTAAGTTTAATCAAACGTATATGTCCGTTGTCTTTTTTTTCAAGAATTAGCATTATGTGTTAGAACATCGAAAACCTGCTTATTTTCATCTTAACTGACGCATGATTTGGTAAGGACCGCGTCTTTTGACAGTAAGAACCCAGTGCGACACTTCGTTGGGAGCGAAAAGCATGAATTTTTTGTGTGTTGAGATTAGCCATCAGAATTCAGATATTTCTTGATACATTTACTGGGGAGTCACGCTTTTTTGTAATCACCTAAGATAGCTATATTATAGATAAATTCCTACATCCAAGACACATTGCATGGTATAGATTCTTATTTCTGATCGTGCCTGTATGCCTTGGAAAACGATTTTTAAAACTTATTGATCTAAATGACAAAGAAAGGATGCTACCGGGGTCATGCAAATAGGTCCCTTTCCCTATGTAATTATGGCTACGAACATGGTCGTGTGCATTCTGCATCTGTAACAAGTTTTGCATGTCAACTTGATTTTAAAGTGAGTTTTACTTGAGCGAAACGTCACAATGTCCTCGTTCCGTGTGAAATGTTAATGATGATTCATTTGCATTGTATACCTTTGTTGGCGGTTTTCTTTGTTTTGCTCATCTAATCAGAACAACTTTGAACTCGATTTCAAGTGGATTCCCCTATTCATTTGATTATCATTACTCAAGGGCGACCTTTAGACATGGCTTCCAAAGATAACAACTTTGTTTTCTTTGTCTCGATTTATCCAGGTGTATGAACGATGTGCTCCAGGCAAATGATGATGTACTACGAAGGCACTCCATACACCATTGCTTCCAAGGGGAGTTGGAAGCAATTTCCCCCAAACCGGAATCCCTTCGGTTTAGAACAGACACTGATGGCATTACGCTTGAGCTGTCCTCCCTACTTGCCCTCCGCCCTCCATCAGATGTGTTTATCGCAACAAAGTGGTGGAAACATAAATGTTACAGAAAACTGATAGACAAGATGTCTCCGCTGTGGCAATGCGGGTCAGCAGAACTCCGTGAGTATAGAAAACACGTTCCTGGCCTTTTCCTCTGCTCGTCCTTGTCGGGAACAAACGTATTGTTGTGCGCAGGTTTAAAGGAAAATGCAGACCCACAGACCACGGCAACTTTTTTCGAGGATCTTGGCACCACTACTTTGGGGCAATGGTTCTGCCAGCGTGTCGATAACTTGCTGAGACGAACATGGGACGAGCTGCGCTTGGTAGCGCCCGAATCGCACACTCTCCTCAACAACATGGTCGGACTGAAACTTAGTACGGGTACTCCTCTCAGAGTGTATAGATCTGACTGGATACATTTCGCCACAGCCTTTGACAATGCCACGGGGCATTACGCCTCCATTGACGGAGAAGCGTGCCCATTCGAAGTGAAAATACTTATCGAATGTTTTGGACAGAAGATGAGCCACAGCACCACCACCGACGCTTCTCAGTTGGACGAAGACGGAGTGTCACCGGATGTAGATCCACTAAAGACTCTTGTCGACTTGAGGTTGCGAAGAGAGTTCGTAGAAAGATGCGCAGTGCACATAGGCGTGTCTGTCGGTCTCCAAGATCCCGACGTGTCCACACTGTGGCACCGAAATTTGCGCTACCGGCTGTTTCCTCACGATTGGCAGATGTATAGCGTCATGGGCATGGATTCGGTAGCCAACATTACTACTCGTAAGGACAGAAAACCTACAGCAGTACTGAACTGTACCTTGGTAAACGACACGTTCGATCTCACTTTTGCTCAAGCATATAACCCAATATCTACTAAAATGTCGGGTGGTTGGGAGGACCGGTTGACAAATGGCCTTCCCGTCACGCTAGCAGCCGCCTCGGGTGTGGCGATCCGCAAGGCTACAAAATCCACACAAGACTTTGTGAAATCAGCCATAGACGGAACGATACAGGGATGTCTTCATGAGATTGTGAAGGACGTAAATCCACATGTGCTTGCTCGTTTCGAAGTAGTACTGACGTGTGAAGGAGAAAACCTCTCGGAGGAACGTACAAACGAACAGGTGAAACATCTTGTGGCTGCACTTCGGCAGGAACTGTCCGGCACCATTCCAGTTGTCATACCTGTCCATTCAAACGTCCTACGTGAGTATGCATCTGACATCCTGACCCAATTGGCCAAGCCGATTCATGTCGCGAATGTGGGTACCACCCAATGGCACTCCCGCAATGACGTCGTCACTATAGCAATCTGTGAAGTCCTTCTCCGCCTCCTGTTGGTTGGACGAGTGGAAGCGCGTGAGAGAGCATATCTACATAGTCTTGGGATCAATCCAGAAAGACCCTGGGAGGGATTCTGCTCCCTGACCGAGCCCGACGCCACCGCGGGATGGAAGTTGAAAGAAGAAGCCTTCAATACATGGGCGAGAGAGGCCGTGTTGACCGCGCCGCCATGGTATCTACCCTCCTACAATGACAGCGCAATGTTTCGGAGAATGCACGAGACAATACTCCTCCTCAGGCTATCCACGTACAACGAACAAGGGGGCAGGGTGACTGGTGAGACAATGGCAGAGATATACTGGAAGCACGTCAAGAAAGAGTTGACGGCGATTATGCTGTCCAGGAATATGCGGGTGTTGACAACAGCAGACGGGGGTGATGCTCTCTTCGATGGCACGATAGAAGGGCGGGGTGTAAGAGTGACGGGAAAAATCAAAGTAGAACATTTAGCAAACATGCTTTGTGATGTCGAAACGCGCAACCTACCAAGGTTTTGCACATGCGAAGCAGTGATTGGCGAGATATCACGACTAGGAATCTCAACGGACACTCTCAGACAACACTTACTAGAGGTGATTCGGGCAGACGCCGAGTTGAGCACATTTCCCTATGTACAGAAACGCACCCTCAACACCATTAAAGCCGGCTTGTTGATACGGGTTCAAGGAGGTGAACACGTCAATCGTGATGTTTGCCTCCGAGCCCACTCCATAGTGTCAGGGGACTTTGGTGCTCGGGTGCGTCAGGGGGATCTTGGTCACTTGGTTTCTTGGGTTATTCTGGTTATCAACAGACTGGAAAGCGTTTGTAACGAGAACACAACAGCACTAACAAACTGTCTGGCCTATGTATCCGCTCTTGTCCTCCAACAGAGGGGTTTCCAACTCGACATATCAGCTGTCAAAGCTTTCAGGACCACCAGGAAGATACCAGTCAGAAAACTACAACAGGCACGAATACTCTCTGATGGAATGGAGGGTCGGCTTAACAGGCTCCACGAAGACATCTTGACAATAGCACAAAGGAGGCATCGACGTCGTCCCGCTATGGCCGAGCGACGCTCGTCGACATCTTCTCTAAGCAGCGATGAAACTATCGTCGGGCAATATATCAACGGCTCAAGGTCAAGGAGGCTAATCTTTACGGACGAGGACTAACAGAGTACGTGATGTAGTTTGTTTAGCAAGTTGTTGTGCCGTCGAGATGATTCCTGGAATGTCGTCACTATGTTACAACAGAATTATCGTAAAATATTTTAGACAGGAGAAGATAGGGTGTGAAAGAGTAAACAGAACTACGGTATTCAAAGGACATGGTTTGGAATAGCGTCTACTCTGAAAATGCGTTATCAGTACGTATTAGCGCTCGCAGAAACAAATCGAAAACGCGGCAGTTTTAAATCATCATCATCACTTGTGTTAAATAGGCACGTATTGATTAAAAAACACTAGGGCTTTGTAACCGAACACTCATCAGGAAATGTAATCGCATAAAATATCACTTGTTAAAGTGACTATCTGCGACAATAGCGTTCTTACTACAAAAAGGGAACCGAACAGTGGAAAGTTTGTGTATCGAAATAATTCTTCCTTTATTTCCAGTCTACTCTGTCATCAATGGTTCCTTCCCATTCACGTTATATTCAATTGTTTCTATAGACCTATTGTTTATTTAATAAAGTTATTTTCCATAATTTTGATGGCTTTTTCTTGTTTGTGTGGCTTGCATATTATGTAGGTAGCTTTTTAGAGAGTCGAACCTTCTCACTTTGGACTTCTTAACTATAGAAATTCCCATAGGGCGAAAACTTAGTCCTGCCGCCTCAAACCCTCACGGGGATCGGCAAGTCAAGTGAAATTTGCTTGGGATGTCTGGTACTGACCTAAGTGCAAATGATATTAACGAGCTTGTTTCACTGTCAGACTGCCGTTGCCATGGCAACAGCCACTAGGAACGTCACCTATGATTTACGATAAGGCCGGGGAACCGTTAGCAAGAGCCCGCGTTACCATGGAAATCCGCTAGATAGCCATGTCACTGCTGGCGCCGCGGTCCAGACGGCTTACTAAAGGCCCATTTTTCATGTACTTATAACCTCTTTTCTGTGCGATTGACAGAATGTTACTTTACCGAGAATAACGTGGCTGCCGGCTCAATTTGGGAGGTTACTGTTTGCGTCTTTTCATGAAAATTCACAGACTATAGAAAGTACGGCAGTTTCCATCATGCTAGAAAAATGCTAGCGCTTGTGTGGCACAATACAGTTCCTTTTATGTTTGGGTGGCCCTGAAAAGGGCCGGGGTTGCTTCTGGTTATGAGTCGGTCAGATGATCGTTTAGCTTAGTACCGAAGTATGTGTACTTCATCACGGCTTTATTGCCCTCGCTGAGGGCGTGCTTGGCCAGCTCGCCCGGCAGCAGGAGTCTGACGGCGGTCTGAATCTCGCGGCTACTGATGGTGGAGCGCTTGTTGTAGTGAGCCAGACGAGAGGCCTCGGCGGCGATGCGCTCGAAGATGTCGTTGACAAATGAGTTCATGATGCCCATGGCCTTGCTGGAGACGCCGACGTCGGGCTGCACCTGCTTCAGCACTTTGTAGATGTAGACGCCGAAGGTCTCCCTCCTCTTTCTCCTTTTTCCGCGCTTATTGCAGGTAGCTTTCCGGGCGGGTTTTCCACTTGGCTGCATGGTGAAGGTCATACAGGTAGTGGCGTGCTGTACGGCTTTGGCTTTATATCAGAGGAGAATGCAAATTTCTGGATAATACTGAGCGGTGTTCGGACCTCAGAGAAAGTACTTTGCCCAAATCAGGCGTTCCTATTGGCCGTCTTAGCCTGACTAAATCTGCGCTCCTAGTGGCCGGCCCGGTGTTGCGCCAGCTGCCCCCCAGAAGCTTGATGTCAAGTCCCTGTAAACCGCGCGGCCCATTCCCTTTCCTGGAGCCACCAATAGGAAGCCAGTACAGGGATCACCGATATGTCATGTGATTACGGCGCCAGCCGGGTGGAGTGGGGCGGAGTCTAGCAAAGGATTTGAATTTGGACTGTTACTGTTCCAAAAAAAATTCTGCTTACTGTATACAACACGCACACACAAACAAACACAGGCACGCACATGCGCGCAGACTTGTGTAAGCATCATGTGACAACAATATAGTTCTTTCGAGATAACGTGGGTGGCCCTGAAAAGGGCCGGGATTTCTTATGGTTTTCAAAATGTTCCTCCTGGTGCGATGACTAAGAAATAGACTTCGGGGTAGTTGGTGCGCAGAGTTGAGATGGTCTGTAGGAAATCCAGGACAGAGTAGAAGATGATGGCCGCAAAAGGGTTTCCCCACAACATAACGTCGTTCAAGGGTATGTTGAAATCTGCATCCATCTGGATTATATCCGATTCAAGCTGGTGAAGAAGTGCTGGGAAGCCCGGGGTGTCCGTTGGAATCAAAATTGTACCCACCCACTCTTGCGGGTTAGCAGGAAAGATGTACTCTATGTTCATCCTCTCAAGATCTGATGTCCTGTCATGAGAGATCCACATTATATGATTCTTGGGGCGTGGCAATTTCCAACCCCTGTTCTGGGCGGAAGGGACGAAGGGGCATATCTGATTGGATGAGATATGTGACGAACAGTCGGTCCTGGTAGCGTTTTATCTGATTTGATCACGTCCATTGTCTCCCCATGGCGCATAAATGATCTTATTACAGATAAAGCCTAGCCGCGAAAAGGTGCAGCAATGGCGGCTTCAAACAGACAGTTATTTGCATACGTCAAAAAGAAGATAAAGACCGACACAAGATAACGATCGCAGATCGAGTATGCCCTCACACAACAGCAAGCTAACACACAACAGCAAGCCAACAACGGAAGAGAGTGTTTTTGACGTAATTTATTAAAGAAGAAACTTGGAGACAGTGCGCGACAATAACAGCTTTCTTTTAATGGAAAATTGCGACCGTTTTGTGCTTGTGGCAGTTCTGTTCACACGGGGCTTGCGGACGAGAGAGCATTACATCTGCCTATTGCCGACCTAGGGTTAGGATTAGGCTTAGGGTTATGCATTAGACTTTAAATAGTTAGGACGGGCCTGCCGCTTATTTTGCACCGTTCAGAATTTTTCTTTAACGCTCCTACAGTTTCAGAACTAGCCGCCTCTATGTCTCATCAAGACCTACCAAACCTACCAGGTTTCATGACGAAGCATATAAAGCTTCTTCAGTTATCGTGCTAAACCACACACACACACACACACACACACATTCAAACGCTACTGAAAATATAACCTTCTTGACGAAGTCAACAACATTAAAGAATATACAATAAGGAGCCAGGAGGTATAAAATCTCTTGTTTTTATTTCTGACTTGTAGACTAAGTTCATAAAAACAAACTCAAGACGAAAGAGATTTACAGATAGCAGAATTTATCTAAACAAGACTCTGTACTTAAAAATCTTTTCTTCAAGTTGCTATCCTTTTTATTCCTACACAATGATTAGATCCTCTGTAAATGTCACATCAAGTACCAATTGTTCTCCTTCTTCTATCCGCTTTGTTGACACGGCCAGTGGTCTACCGGGCTGCGACGCATTTTGTCGAAGTAAAACTAACTTTAAATTGGCACATTTTCGCCCAAATCTGATCTTGTTAATTGGGTTATTTGGAACAGCTAATGTGTCTATAACAACAATCTCATTACGGTCTCGGTAATGAATAATTTTCGGTGACATGCCAGTTTTGTACGTGTCTTCTCTGCGATTAGATTCGGCAGGACTAATCCTTTCTCCTAAAATCTCGGCCACAATAACGTCTTTTTCAGGAATTACCATTGCCGCTAGCCCGCTCTCACTCACAAATACCTGTTGGGCTGTCTTTAGTAACCTGTTTGAAGTGCGAGACCTCGCTATAATCAGTTCGGTTTCTCCTTCGTTTCCAGATGTAGCTAAATTAGTTCCTGTCTCTGGATCTTCCGAAACCGTTTCTGACTCGCCATCTAGTCGTGCCTGGCTGGTGTCGGCCCGTCGGCCGTTGGCCACTTCCTCTTCTCTCCGTGAGCTCGATGCTGAGATAGGTCCGTTTTCTACTTCCTCCTCTGAATAGTATGGTAATTGAGTCTCTCGCTCTTTATCTTCGCGGGGTAACCCGAGAACCGTTTCTGACTCGCCATCTAGTCGTGCCTGGCTGGTGTCGGCCCGTCGGCCGTTGGCCACTTCCTCTTCTCTCCGTGAGCTCGATGCTGAGATAGGTCCGTTTTCTACTTCCTCCTCTGAATAGTATGGTAATTGAGTCTTTCGCTCTTTATCTTCGCGGGGTAACCCGAGAACCGTTTCTGACTCGCCATCAAGTTGTGCCTGGCTGGTTTCGCCCTCTCGCCATACAGACATTTGAAGATGGCCATCTCGGTTCAACGTGATGTCAGGTTCATTTAACTTCACCGCACTCTGACGTTCGGGTTGGGCTGGATTTTGTTGACTGCCTTGGTGGATAATTTTTAGAGATCTCCATCCTCGAAGGCCAGCACGGGTTGTGGAGGTATATCCACAATTCGACTTTGAGGCTAGCAATGCCGCTAGCTGACCACAGAAGCGCCTATAATTTGGTACGACGACATCCAAATCCGTCAAGTATTGCTTGTATGACAAATAAAGAGAAGCAGTCGGAACAAAGTCTGTCTTGTCTTCCGTTATGATTACTTGACTCTCTAACCACTGTGAAAGACGTGGGCATGGAGAGGCTTTGTGGTTCATATCCAGTCAGTTCTTGGTAGTAAAATTCCAGTATCGTTTCAAATTTGTCTAGTAGCGTGGTCGTTTTTTTTCTGTTGGGATTGGCACAATCCGGATGTTCTTTGGAAAGAGAACGGGTACGCTGGGATTGAAACGTTGCTCACCTGGTAGTACTACCTTCACCTTGAAGTGCCGGCTGAGTGTCAATGCCATGGCGTGCAGCAGCGAACCAGCGTTGAAAAGTGCGGCGATCTTCAGCAATACACGCCTCCAACGTAGTTTACGGCTCGTATTAAAGCGGGCCATGTCGATGTTGGGAGCACACAGACTGATCGGTGAAACAGTTGTCCGGCTGCAGACTTCAGCGCAGTTGGCCTTGAAGAGTGAGTGAGCTGCCTGAAGGAGTAGTCAGGCTTGGCATCTGGACCACGTGCTCTCACCACGTGACCCCATGTCGTCTAACGCAGTGATTGGCCTGTTGCGATTGCTAGGTACCTTGCCTGGTGGGCAATTGGAAAGAAGGCGGTTTTTAACATCAATGTTTGTTCTCACATAGACCTCTCTGCGTTATTTATATTGGAAATATGCAAATACGACGCCAGCATATGGTGAACAGACGGTGGTCCTCTGCATAGAGCCGTATAGACGATCACCTTATCAAATGAACAGCCTTGAATTCCTCGAGCCAGCAAGCGTCCACCAGTGGGCGGGAACAATTTTGGTATCTACCCAAGTACCCAACCTTGCTTTGCTTCTCTATCAAATTGAGTTAGAATTGACAGCTATGCAAGAAGACTTCACTATACCTTTATTCGATATGCTCATTTCAGAAACCACCTACGCACCAATAATATTTTACGGTACCGTTGGATTTTGGAATACCATCACAACTTTGAATCTTTTCCACCCCGAGGTGGTCTTCATCGTTTTTGCGCATGGTGGAACATATTAGACGACAAGGAAGAGAAACCCCGGACCTTATCAGGGCGAGGTACGCTTTGACTGCCAGACAGCAACACGCGCGGTGCCCCGGTAGAAACCATGCGGTTGTAAACTTCCCAACACCTTTACAAATCGGCCGAAATGCGCAGGTGAGTGATCAGGTTGAAAGGCTTCCGTTTTTCGGTGCCTCATCTCGCCATTGCAAGCTTTCCGTCAGCATTCTTAGTAATATAATCCACATCTAGCTTTGAATTCTTATATTGTTCTGAGGCAGGAATTTTTATTGCCCGTGATTTGATCACATTTGTGTGAGATGAGAAACCATCAATCTCCCGTGTGACATCGTCTTTGATATTCCGTATTCTCTGATTGGTGTGTAACCGCTACCAATTGGGAAAGCATGCGTTTGAAGTTTATTCTGTATATAAATCTCACCATCAACCATCCTGACGTCCCAATCCTGGTCATCGCGTCCGATAACTGTTTTCCTTTTCCCTAGACGAGAGGAAATAATAAAATTTGGTACGTCAAACTTAATCATGCAAAAAACGTGGCGTACTCATGCTAAAACGGCGACCTCACACATTCTCGTGCATCCACCTTGGGGCTGTTTCAGTTTCCCGGGTTGACAGGTGGTCGCCAAATATTTCAGCTAGCAAAATGCACGGCGTTGCTGCATTTGTTAATTCGGTTTATTGCATGTATCGTGTTCGTGCTAATACGAAGAGCTGCGATCGTCTGGTACGGGTAAAAATCCCACGGGGTCTATCCATTCCGACAAGCTGTTTTCGGCTGCGGGGGTGGGGTTAGGTGGCTGGTACAAACTCGCACCAGTTGCGCAGCTGTGAGAGGACATTGTTCTCGCATGTGCCACGCCTACCTGAAAGGAGTTTTTCCTAAAGTTGGATACTCAGCTAATTAATTTCTATATTTGGCGTCTTGCTTCTAAGGTCGTGGCCCTGAGAAGAATGTCCGGAAGCAGATGACTCACGTCAGGCCGTCTTGGAAGCGAGGCAAGATGGAGGACGGCTTCCTCACAGAGGGAAAATTTGGAGCCTGAAGGCGGCGTAAGGTGTGTTAGGTGTCCTTTTGTCGCATTAAACACCATCCCCTATTTCAGAAGTAGACTATCGTGTAACCTGCTCCTAAATAAAGCCGACACTAATGAACTTGTACTAAAATGTCATTTGTTTCAACTGGTGCTTGAGTGTTTGATGGGGAATGTACATGAATATCCATTTAGAGCATAGTTGTTTTATTATAATTCTGTGTCTAGATCTTCGTGGGAAACGTATTTAAAGCTCGATTGTTTCCTTTGTCTCTCATGCAGGCACACGCGATTCACGTCCGCTAATGTAGAGCTGGCTGGTTTGGAGCTATGGACATCATCATCCCAGCAGACCTTGATGAATGGGCAGGGACGATAATGATCTCCAAGGAAGCCGAAAACATCGACGTCCTGCTCAATCAACTAGAAGAGGATCTTATAGACCAAGGCGCTGATTTCTCCATCCATAATGAAGATGTCAAGATTTGGGGAACTTTCTACGCACCCGTCATATTTTACAGTGTGAATGATATCTGGACTACCGTCACCATGTTACAACAAAATCATCCCGGAGCCGATTTCCTGGTCGTTGGGTCTTGCAGAATATTTTAGACGGGAGAAGACAAGGTTTGAAAGAGTTAAGGGTATTTTCAATGGACATGATATCAAGTAGCATCGGCACTTAAAGGCAGGGCATCATAACATCCTGTAGCGTCCTGCGGACTCCCGAAGCCCAGCATTTAGTACCGGATGCATCAAGTTCAAATTGACACAATAGGGCGTCTGCTGATAGACTATCAGCCGGCACGTTCTGACGTATTATGATACAGTGTTTAATGGCGTTTAGAGATGCTTCTTGTTTGAGGGAGTAATAGCCTGCAACAGTTGACCATTAAGTCTTAGAGGAAAATGACCTTTTTTGGAATAAAGCTATTTCCCATAATTTGCATGGCTTTTGGTTGTTTATATGTCTTGTTGTGTCTATTTGGATTTAATCTCTCTCTCTCTCTCAATATACACATCACGGACGCACGCACACACAGACACTACACACACAAGGTTCCGGGACCCTACACTTTTCGATAATTGCGATTGGATTTTAAGATGCATAGAGTTTGAATGTACTAACTGAAATACAAAGGTTAGGACGCAAATTGAATAAAAGAACACAGTGTAACAACAAACCAAAACAGCAATAAATCTCGCCCTGTTCTGATTCTTTCCTTTCATCACATTTTCTCTTACTACATTTTGCGACACTGTCGTGACACTTGGATCGTAATACAGTAAGCAGAATTTTCGGTAACAATTTTTGGTGGCGTATATTATGGCCAAAAAGGGTTTAAAAGCCATTTTAGGAATACACTAAAACAAAGTCATTGCTTAGGACACGGCGCATGTACACTATTCAACATGTTTTACACCACAAACCTATACGTTATATTTTGTCAAAGTATCAGGATAATCAGGCAATTTAAACTTTGACCCTGAAGTCACCACTCGGTAACATCAAGGTTGGTAACATTGAAAGTTTGATAAGTCGCTGTCAAATAACTTAGTTTTCAAAGGATTGCGGTAATTTTAGACACTGTCACGAATGTGGAAGTTCAATCGTCGTACCTACATTGCCGAAGCTGTTCAAAAGAATTAAACAGGTGAGTTTTCTAAGCGAATTTCAGCCTCTTCTTCAGAAGTCAGAGGAGGGGGGAGGGGCTCGGCTTAGTAGTTTGTAGAAAAGAGATCCCTGTCGATACGCCGCGTGTGTGTGTGTGTGTGTGTGTGCGCGCGCGCGCATGTGTGTGTTTGTGTTTGAGTACGTGAATAATTCTGTGCATGCGCATTTGACCAGATATTACTGTTAGACACGGCGCATGTACACTATTCAACATGTCTAAAGAGGACTGGAATAAAAGGGTAAGTGCAGGAGAAAGTTCATTTGCTAGTTCTTTCAACAGCCTGGAGCTGATACCATCAGGGCCAGGGGCCTTCCTAGGTTCTAGGTTCTGCATCAGCTTTCGCACACCAGACTCCGAGATGTTATTTGAGCTGCAAGTGGGGGTGCCAGACTGCGTATTTAGGTTTGTTCTGAGCCGAAATTCTTCTTCAGTGCAGGTGACCATCTGGCTGAAGGCACATTGAAACTGTTTGTTAAGCGCCTCAGCGCGGTCCTTGGCTTCTGTAGTCAGTCGACCATCCACTTTCAAGGGTGCGACACTTGCAGCTTCGGTTCGTTGGGACTTAATGTACGTCCAGAACCTTCTCATGTTTGTCCTAGGGGTTTCATGACAGCCAGTTTGATCAGTAAACAGGCTTTCAGTATATGATCAGTAGGCTCTACGTAGACGACGTTGAACTAGACGTTTAATGGCCTTCAACTGATCTCGAACTAAGGTGTCACCAGTCTTCCTCCAACGTTTGTACAATCTGTCCCTGCGTCGGATCAAACGCGATGTGGTATAGTGTACCAATGGTTTGTTATTTTTAATACCAAGAGTGTTTAAAGGGATATGTTTTTGAGACATATCTAAAATGCCCTCCTTATTTTTAACCCTCAAACCGCCGTTTTTTGCGACGAATCTTACCGTAATGGGATCAAAACTGACCCCGTAATGTTTTGCACGAATGCAGCTTTTTATAAACTCTTTTTGTGATTTATGTGTAATTGTAGTTTAATCAATCTGTATGAGAGAGTTTGACATTTTTCTAGATGAGAATTAATGATGCTCATTATCATAATTTATGCAAACATGAGATACTTACACATTCTGTACTTGTTGCCTTGCTGCTAAAAGTGCCCGCGCCAACTTTAAATTCCTATAATAATTGCCATCATTTTCGAACGACTTACGGTAGAACCACAAATTTTGGGGACTTTTTCAAGAGTGTAGTTGGCAACAATTTAGAATGAGTCAAGTTCAGCACTTTTACCGTTGCCATGGTAACGGCTTTCTGATTGGCATATTTGACGAATTTCAAAACTTTCATTGCAAACTCTGTAATTCTTAGCTTTTCTTTTCATTTTGCACTTGTCATTTTTACCTTGATAGCATCTTACACAATTAGACATAAATTTAATGAATTAAAGATAATTAAAAATGCTGATTTGATGAAGGTCAAAGGTCAATCCAAGATGGCGGACCTCTCAAATTTTATTGCCACCTTAATCTTTTTGCAATAAAGCCTATTTCTGTATACAAATAAAGGTCTCCAGTTCATCCCCATGTTGTTTGTACGTTGAATAATACTCGTTTTCACTTGTAAATTGCTATTTCTAATTTTTTTCCAATATTTTCACATTTTCAGCTCTTTCAACATCTATGACGTCATTTTATGACGTCACCATGATGTCATGACTGTTTCAATCACAACATATATCACCAGACATTAAGATATTAGATACTCTATCAGTTGTGATGTTTACGTTTAATTTTCAGGGAATTCCCTATTTATAGAGGTTTAGCCAATAAATTAAGGAAATAACGTCATAAAACGTCATAATGACGTCATCATGATGCAACATTTATGATTTATTTTAGCTTGTATATCATCCTCTGAAAATTTGTTGGTCGTACGATATACCTTTCTCGAGTTCTGAGGGAGGGGGTGAATTTGCATGCACATTTTGCTGGGGTCAGTTTTGACCCCACTGGACCGTGCATATACTTTCTAGTATAACTCAATCAACAAAAATCCAATCTTGTATGAGAAGTTGTAAGACATATGTACAAACAAACTCAAGGGAGGAATTTTATTTTCGACAAGAAATGTCGAAATACCACATATTTATACAGGTCTGGGGTCAGTTTTGACCCCATACGATGGTTTTAGGGTTAAAGGACTGCCATATTTTTTGGTCTTACATTCACTGAATTTGGTTGATATGGAATTTGACAGATCTGTTGCGGCTGCGCGTAGGGCAGGCCAGTCTGCTCTAGAGTACTTGAGTACTTTCCGTCTGACCTGCCGCTTGCAGACAGGGTTCATTTACAGGGTCAAATTCCATATACTTAATATCATGATCTGTGGTGGCATGAAAATTTGAAGTTAACTATTTTGTCCAGATATTTTTCTGCTTCTGTTTCAATTTCAAAGTAAATGAATAGTATATTTTTCTTGATTTTTGTTTCTTGCTGCTGCAGTTACTCAGCTGATTTCAACTGGTTTGGTCACCCCAGAGACGGCACCCACAAAGACAAAGGCCAAACCGAAGAAATTCCAGATGTTTCAGCTGAAACCGAAGTCGTTAGAAAGTGGCCAGGGTGATAGAACTTCCATTGAACTTGCATCTCTGTCAGACCAGCAGGATGAAGCATCGGACGCAAAGGAAGCATCTGCTGCTACTGCTAAAGGAAGAGGCAGAAAAGGTGGCAAGAAAGCTTCTTCTATCTGTTTTACTAGATCATCATCTTTAAGGATAAGGTTTGTATTGGTTTTTACTTCCTAATCTCTCCCACGACAGAGCTCCGCCTGTGGCAACACTAAGCTTCGGGAGGAAGCTCTGCCAAACCGCCTGAGCCTTGAACCTTAAATTGGAGCATTGACTCTAATGAGCTGTCAGCCAATCAGAAGGATAACTTTGAGTTTGGCAAAGCAAATTCGATCCCTCTAATCGGCTGACAAATCGTTTGAAGACATGCCCCAAAATAAGGATCAAATCCCAGGCAGTTTGGCAGAGCTTCCTCCCAAGGCTTACGGTAGTATTGCCGTGAGAGGAGCCCTGTCGTGGGAAAATGCTTCCTGACAAGCTACAGTCATTCAGTTGTATATTATACTTCATGCTCTTCCTACTTACAACTCCGACTGTGAAAGCATTGTGTTGTACTGTTGGATTGTGATCATTTTCTATATTGTCTTCTCAGAAGAGACAGAAAACCACTGAAACCTCATCATATCGATGTAAATTTTGTGAGAAGGAGTGCCAGGAAGACTCAAGCAGAGTTAAAGGTAAGTCGGAATTTCTTGTATTATTGTAGATCTTTCCAAAACCTCAATGCAATTAGTCCTTCATAACAAATGAAGTAATTTACAGCTTTGTGAAATTGGACAATACATAAGGCATGAGATCCTTGCCCAAGTTTCCTAGCATGGTATTGGTGTCACTCATGCCGGTAACCTTCGAAACCGTTAATACTATCAAGTTCACAGAGATATAATTCAATCAACCAGACTTGATCAACCAGACTTGTAGTTCTTAACAAAAAGAGAAAAACACTGCAAGTATATTCAATTTTTTTCAGCAAGAGAAGCAGGGATGGATAGAACAGCAGATACTGGGAAAGGTAGAGGAAGGGATGGAAGTAAGGATTTTATAGTATTTAATAGTATTCCCATTTTCATCATACATGTACAGTATCAGGGTGAAGTGACCAAAGTTACCTAACTTTGGACACCCAGATTGGAGGTGTTCAAAGTTGTCCAAAGTCGTCCAAAGTTATGACGTCATCCAACTTTGCACACCCAGATGGAAGGTGTCCAAAGTTGTCCAAAATTTGATGCCATCACGTAACTTTTGACAACTGTGGACACCCGCCACCCTACCCCGCCCTGTGTCCGAAGTAAGATTACTTCACGTAACTTTGGACAACTGTGGACACCCACCACCCTACCCAGCCCTGTGTCCAAAGTTAGATGACATCACGTAACTTTGGACAACTTTGGGCACCCGCCACCCTACCCAGCCCTGTGTCCAAAGTTAGATGACATCACGTTACTTTGGACAACTTTTGGCACCCGCCACCCTGCCCCGCCCTGTGTCCAAAGTTAGATGACTTCAGGTGACGTTGGACAACTTTGGACACCCACCACCCTACCCTGCCCTGTGTCCAAAGTTAGATGACTTCACGTAACTTTGGACAACGTTGGACACCCGCCACCCTACCCTGCCCTGTGTCCAAAGTTAGATGACGTCACGTAACTTTGGACAACTTTGGAGAACTTTGAGCACCCGCAACCCTCCCCTACCCTGTGTCCAAAGTTAGATGACGTCACGTAACTTTGGACAACGTTGGACAACTTTGGAGACCAGTCACCCTGCCCCATCCTGTGTCCAAACTTAGATGACGTCATCTTATACATTATTTAACGTCACTCGTGACTCACGATATAGCGTCAAATCCATTAGGAAAGTTGGGCGTAATGTTAGACAAATTTGGACAACTTTGGACACCCTTACTTTGGTCACTTCACCCTGATACCGGACATACCTCTTTTTTCATTTCATTAAGCAGTTTATATGGTAATTGCAGCAGCTTTCCTATAGGAATAGCAATCTCTGAAATAATATATTTACATTGTTATGAATTTCTCACTGGCTTTGTGTATGTATTCCCCCCTGACCCCCATATGGCACAGACATGCATATAGCAGGAAATTAAGACAGCAACTGAGACTTTTTCTGGCACATTTAACCTAACTTCCTGTCAGTGTCCCCTACATGCCTAGCCCAATGGAAACACACAAACAGACACACTTAATAATGTCCCAATCACTCTTTTTGTTTCCTTTCTTCCTCACATTAGGTTGTGGACATCGAAGGCAAGGGGAGAGGGGTGGTGGCGACCAAGCCGTTCGGACGAGGCGACTTCGTGGTGGAATATGCCGGGGACCTGATCGACATGAAAACAGCTAAGGGCAAAGAGGCTAAATATGCTCAGGACCCGAGCACAGGCTGCTACATGTACTACTTTAAGTACAAGAACAATACATACTGGTGAGTAAGGAACTTTTCCTGGGCATAGAAGTACACAGTCTTTGTCGACTATACAGCTGCGGTGGTTCCTGACTGGCACATGGGTCGGCAGTAGTCAACTGGTCTTCACACTTTTTAGCGGGGCCCATTAGCGTGTGTTTGCCTGTTTGTTTGTTTGTTTGTTTGTTTATTGGTTCGCATATATTAAAAAACAATAAAATGAACATATTACTGACAATAAAATAAAATGCTGGGGAAAGATACGAAGCCATAGTGGCTTGTCTGGGATCTTCCCCGACAAAATTAATTAACAACTGAAATAATGCTAACAAATCAAATGGTAATAATAAATAACAATAATTAATTAATAAATTTGATCAATATGATCAATATGATAATGGTAACAAAACAAATAGTAACAATGAGTAACAAAAGTGATTGATAAATAACGCTAATTACAAATAATATGTTAAAACATAGGTTAACAGAACTTTAACTGCAGTACAGACATTGGCAGAATTTAAGCAATAACTCAAGAAAAAATAAATGAATTTTAAAAAGAAACGGAAATTCAAACTTATACAGATGAAATCACAGTAATAAGATATCAAATGTCGGTGGGAAATAAAAGTATGTGATTTTTAAGATTTCGTTTAAAGCTAATTATTGATGTTAAACATTTTAGGTGGAGAGGGAGATTATTCCAAGTAGTTGTACATTTATATTTTACACTCATTTGGGCTACAGACGTTCTAACTAGGGGGATATGGAAATGGGCACTTTGTCGAGTTTGGTAAGTATGAAACTGGGAATTAAGATTTAGAAGACCATTAAATGTGTCTGGAAGAGAACAAGTAAGGAATTTAAACGTAAATAGCATCAGATGAAGTCTGTTTATATCAAAAATATTCAAAATCTTAAGTTTTGTAAACAAAGGTGCAGAATGTGCGCGGAAACTGGCGCCGGTGGCTGAACGAACAAATCTTTTTTGGAGTAATACTAGGGGCTGTAGTGTGGTTTTGTAGGCGCATCCCCAGACTATATTCCCGTAGGTTAGATATGGGTATATTAAGCTATTGTATATGGTAATAATGGTTTTTTGAGTAAGAAGATGTTTAAGTTTTCCAATAATACCGATAGTTTTTGAAATTTTTTTACCTAACATAGTTATATGTGGTTTCCAGGTTAATCGTTCATCAATGATTTAGCTTGACTCTCTTGAGAAAGGGTCACATTTTTTAAAAAGATTTTGGCGCTTCTATTGTAGGTTTTATTTCTATTACAGAAAATAAGGTAGTATGTCTTCTTAACATTGACTGATAATTTATTTGCCTCAAACCACGATATAACCCTTTTCAATTCTTCGTTAGCCAGGTTTACTAGCGTATCAAAATTCGAGTTTGACAGAAAAAGATTTGAATCATCTGCAAATAGGATAAAGAAAATAATTGAGGATGCTTTTCGAGGTCATTTATATAAATCAAAAAAAGTAGGGGTCCTAGTATCGAACGCTGTGGGACACCACATTCTATTATTTTAAGTTGTGATTTATTATCATTAAGGGTTACGTATTGCTGTCTATTGGATAGATAAGAAGAGAACCATTTTATTGCGGAGTCACATATACCATATCGTTTTAGTTTATTGAGTAGAATGGAATGATTAACTGTATCAAAGGCCTTTGATAGATCGAGAAAGATTCCTATAGTGTATTCTTTGTTATCTATAGCTGTAGAAATTTTTTCCATTAAGTGTATGAGTGCTAGAGAAGTAGAATAGCCCTTTCTGAAGCCATATTGGTGTTTATATAGGATGTTTATATTTTGATTTAAATGTTTCAGAAGACGATTGTATACTAGTTTTTCCAAGACCTTAGATACGCAGGGAACGACAGATATTTGTCGATAGTTATTAACGCTAAGTGGATCACTGCTTTTAAAAATAGGCGTTACTTTTGCGACTTTTAGTGGGTGAGGGACAACTCCATTTTGCAAGGATAGAGACAGAATATGCGTTAGAGGGGCAATAACATAGGGCAGTGATAACTTTAGTACTTTAGGGCTTATTTCGTCATGACCAGCAGCTGAGTCTTTTAAGTTTTTGATAATATCTGTAATTTCAGCACCAGTTGGTGGTATAAAAGTTGATAGGTTAGAATTTACTTGTAAGGTGATGTAGCTAAGAGGGTCTTGTATTCCTTTTGGGATTTTACTATCAAGCGTAGGTCCAATATTAATGAAAAAATTATTGAATTCGTTACATATTTCATCTTTATTTTCGGTAGTTTTGGTACCAATTTGTATTTTGTTTGGACATGTTGGACCAGCTGATTTACTTTTATTACGATTTTAAACGTCATTTATCAGGTTCCATGTTTGTTTTATATTACTAGTGGCTTCATTGAACTTTCTGTGATAGTACTCCTTCTTAGCAGTTTTTAGAATCAGAGATGATTTAACTTATTCCGGTATTTTTCATAGATACTGTGTTTTAAGGGTGTCGGGTTCTTGATATATTTAGTAAAGAGCTTGTTTTTTCTGCGTATTGACTTTAACAAACCACTGCTTAGCCATGGTTTTCTGCGAGAATGTTGGGAGATGTTTGTAATTTTCTTTGGGAAACATTTTTCGTATAACGATCCGTATGTTTCAAAAAATTGATTATATGCTTTTTCTGTGTCTGTTTCGTTTAATACGTCGGTCCATACTATTTCTGATAGGGATTGTGTAAATTTCTGAATGTTTTGTTAACTTGACGATAAGATATTTTGTCTGTCTGCCTGACTGGCTCGTTTAAATCGGATGTAAGGAATATTGGGAAGTGATCTGATATGTCAGTGATGAGGATGCCAACTTTGATATTGTTGCTAACAGAGTTTGTATAAATGTTGTCTATCAAGGTAGCAGAGTAGGGTGTAATTCTGGTAGGTTTGCATATAAGTGGGTAAAAGCCAGATGAGAACATTTCATTTACATAATCAGTAGTGGGTTGGTTAGTGTTGTTTAACAGATTAATATTGAAATCACCAATATTGTAACAAGTTGTTCTTTCCCTATTAATATTGTTCATAGATTCCTACTTGCCTGCAAGTATTGTGTGCCCTGGGAAAGAGAATGTATTTCTGTGCAAAGCATGCTGAGAAGTTAACCTACCTCAAAACGAGTGTTTTGAAAAAAAAAAATTATGTTTCCAGTTTCTGCCATTTTTAACAGTTGTAAAGTTACAAACCATTGTCAGGACGTTTACCTAGTGTAGCACTTAGAAACTAAAATTTGCACATAGTCTGTAATGTTATTTGCTTACATACTTATAATGAAAATTATGAAATGCTCACACAGTGGATTTAAGGCCACACCAATTTGTTGGTTCTAGGATTCGCCCGCCTCATTTCTTCCAATTTGAAAAAAAAGATTCAGGTTCTAAATCAACTCCATAATTTTCATGTTTGGGCCCAAACAGTGGAAGAAAGTTATTGTTATAAATAAAGCAGGTCAAAAGTGTTTATCCCTACGCTGTACGAAAAAACAACGCGGGAAATGTAAGAACCAAAAGGACAGGAAGAAATGGTTCAACCAGACCTGTGCTTCCGCCAGACGCGAACTCCGCAACTTAGCCAAGCTACTGTCAAACAATCCTCATGACCCATTCATAAGAGGCTCATACTTTACAAAGAAAAAAAAAACAGTACACCAGACTCATACGGAAAACTAAAAAGGACTATAAAAATCATATTTGCAAACAACTTAGCTCTATCTCTTGCGACAATCCCTCAGCCTTTTGGACATATACTTTTATATGGATGTGAAATCTGCAAGATTAGAATCAGTGCCCATCCCTTGGAAATTGAAAAGGGGCGATATATGAAACTACCTGTATCGGAGAGGATTTGTAAATATTGCTCCTCAAATGCAGTGGAAGACGAAAATCATTTCATCTCTAGTTGTTCATTTTATAATGATATCAGAAACCAACTAGAACAAACTAGAACCATTTATGTTGTGGAATGTAGTATATAGCGTTGTACATGGTTTCTTCTATCATTGTATCGCCCTTTTCATATATGTTGTTCGAATTTGCAATTAGCCCTCGGGCATGTATTTGCAATAACCTTTTATTGTTTTTCCTAGTCGTTACCGTTTTTTTTCATAAAAAATGCAGTGGTTTGATAAGACGTACAAAGTTCATCGTTTTAATTATGCACCAGTCTGGTATTTTGACATCACAGGTCCTATCGTAGCTTTTGGGGCTATCAGATGATGCATTATAATAGGCCTTTCTTTATTTTCATTCGCTCTGTCGCTTCATATTTTTTTGGAAAAAATCAGAGAACCAACAAATGAAATTGGTGTGGCCTTATTTTACATTTTTTAGGGGTTGACCACTCGTTTGCAAATCTATGGCACTACTTAAAATACAATGAATCCTTCCTGGCCCTTCTTTCGTGAAATTAATCTCCACAAATTTACGCTACAATCTTTTCCCTTTTACAGTGTTGACGCCACAGCTGAGTCAGGTCGGCTGGGTCGCCTTATCAACCACAGTGCCAAACACAAGAACCTGATCGCCAGGACCATCTCCGCAGGGGGTCTGCCACGAATTATCCTGGTCGCCGCTAGGGACATCCCGCCTGGAAAGGAGCTGCAATACGACTACGGAGACCGGAGTAAAGAGTCGCTGGCGTCGCACCCTTGGTTGGCTTGTTAACACGGCCAACACTACCTGGCCAATACCTAACAATAAGCAGGGTCACAATTTAAACTGTGCGTGTGAAATGTCCTTTGACCTTCACCATTCAGCTTTGCCCTTAACGTTTGGTCTTGACAAGAACTTGCAAGATGTTCTTATCAAGACCATGCTATCCAGTTGTGTATCAGGAGCTGTCAACTTTGACGTATTACCCACAATGCATGACACTGCACATGCACAATTTTAACTATGAATAGCTTTAGATACTGAAGAATTGTATAAATAAATCTACTACAACTAGGGGATTCTAGTTTGTATGTATGTATGTATATATGTATGGCAGAATCAATCCAATACTGATAAGGCCACACCAATTTGATTTGTTCGTTCTCGGATTTTTTCCTGAAAACATGAAGCGACAGGGCGAAAAGAAAAGCTCTGATGGTGAAGCCAGGGCTGGAATAGGGGCCCGGGGACTCTTGTGTTACATTTATACTGAAAAACAAAGAAAGACAAGTGCATTACTGCTATCTATATCTGCTTTTTCACCACCTATGATCTTATTTCCACAAATGAATTGATTTTATTATTATCTCCATGAAGGAGAGAAAAATGGAGAAATTGTTTTCGGTATGTCTGTGTGTGTGTCTGTGTTTCCGCAAACTTTTGGTATGCATATGTATTTTTAGAACGCCTTTATGGATCCTGGTAATATTTGGTTTGTGGGTAGAGCTTAGGAGGCCAAAGGTCAAGGTCAAATGTGGGCCTCCTGGTGGCAGACCTTGGTACTGCAGCATAACTTCCGGTTATTGTATCTTTTTTCCTGGACATGCTGTGGTCTTGATTTTTTGGTGGCAGATAGCTTTTCCACTCCAAGAGTAAGTGGTGTGGGACCCCCTAGCAGCTTGTAGTGGAACTGCCGGGAGGTTGGGGGCGAAATCTTTCAGAGCAAATAAGTACAGCAAGAAACAATATATTTTCATGATTTTTGGTATGTGGGTAGCTTACACAGAGATGTACATAATTGTATAAAATTATGCAAATGATGACTTAATTTGCATAATGAATGAGGACATTCTGTATTTCTAGTGTTATATGTTATGTATGTAATATTTATTATCTATGGCAGGTGTAGTGTTTGACTAACACTCAAGTACGAATCTCACACAGACCGACTTTTCACACGACTGTATTCAAGTGGTGTTCATATACAGTGACTGTAGGAGGGTAAAACATCTGTTCTCTATTACTATAGTATGTGTAGATGCAGCCAGCACGACCTTCCCTGCCTTACTGTTTTCGTGGCTCTGCTCCAGTCGGAGGATAGGGGGAAAAGAATTTTCTGACCTACCTTGGTTCTTGGATAATATGATTTAATTGAAAGAGTTAGTAGAATACAGAGCCGCCACTGAGATGCATATATTACTAAACTGAATGTACGATGTGAAAGTCACTTGCATGTCCCACCGGACGAAAACGGAGATTTCCCTCGTGGATATCTGTGGATACTCGCTAGGAAATCCGAAGTTTCCGCGGGTTTCCACTGATTTCCAAGGTGCACACGCGGCGTGTCCGCTGTAGGAAACTTGTGGAAAACGTGGGAAACGGACCGCTCAAATTTCCCTTTCGTGTCCTATGGTGGAAATTTGCGTGCACATCGTCGGGATATCTGTGTACACGTATGGAAACTTCAGGTGTTTGCCTTTTTTCTACGAATGACTTATGCATAATTTAGCGACAATTATCGTCATTATCTCCCCCAGACCCACCCGGCCACGCCTCAAATATACCTTTTGTAATGGAAAGTAGCATCATGGCCTCCTATCCCCCTTTACCCCCCCCCCTTGTTTTGATATTTTTGTTGCCTTTATTAGTTGTAAATGGTGCTTGGGCTTTGTGTGAGTGTGTGGTTGTGTTTTTTTTTTTGCAAACTGGTCATCAGGAGGTTCCGATCTGTATGTATTTTATGCACCTCCCAAATTTCCAGGGTGATCTGGCGAGTCTCTCAGCACAGGCTCATCTGAAACAAACTGTAGATCACGGCCTATTCGTCCTTCCACGTATGGCATGTAGACGATGACAGTCTCGGGAGCAGATATGAGTCTCCAGTCGTTGGAATCATTCCTCAGCTCGTCTTGCCTAGTCTCCCTAGGGTAGGCTACCGGCTTTAAAAAACGGGACATAGACTGAAGTTCACAATCTTCCCAATCAACCTCTGTCTGGAGAGAAGTCTTGTCCCAGTACGTATTGCCAATGCCCCGCGGCGTTCTTGTCCTGGAAACAGCTAGTCTCTACCAGGCTTCGAGAAGCGGCTGGAAAGAGTAGAAATCGGCCCGATGGAGAGATAGCATGCCAAGGTAGTTGGTGCTGCTGGAGAAAACAGTTTGCCACTTCGGTTCCAGCCGCTTCCCGGAGCCTGGTAGACGCTAGGAAATTGCTACAAGTAAACGTAGAATGACGCCATGTCGATATTCCTCGGTGTTGATGTAGACAAATTTCCCAGTCTCTCACTAAGTCCTAGCGTGTTGTTTGTGTCCAAAAGAACTGTAGAATGCACGTTACACAACCCGGTGTGTAGTTTATAGCGGGTATTCATATCTGTACTAATGTGAGTAGGAAACTAAGCTAGTTGGAACCCCTTGTTAGCAAGGCGACAAATGATTGTTAAATGATTAGAATACTTGTTGACATTGTTGTGATGGGATAAGACGATACATGTAATTCAACCATGATGTGTTAGAAGATAACGGGTACGATATCTTCCTAGGGGAAGGTGTTATGTATCGTAGGGAAGTTAGTTTGGAACACCCCCATATCCCCAATGGAACGCTCCAGGGGAGCATAGGGGGGCATTCTGAGAAGGGAGCCCTGGTGCAAGGGTGTGGAAAATAAAGGCTGTGGAACCTTGACTTTGGTGTGTGTCCAACTGTTCTTGGAGATTTAAGAGGAACCTGTAACACGGTGTGCTAACTGACAGATTTCAAAAGTAGAGCGCGAGCGTTGATTGGCCCCCCTTTTCAAACCACATACAAGAAGAAATGCATGCGATTGGCTGTTAGGGTTTACAGATCACTGCAAGAATAACGACTGACACAAAGGGCTGTGAAATGTCCCAGTTGTCTATTGTGAAAAAGATTCACGCTATAAGCTTAAACGACAATAAACTCTATTGGCTAATCTTACGCCAAAATGCGCCGTCTGCATATGCGTAACACATAATACATAGCAGTTTACCTATGTAATGTTTACAACTTCTTGCTCAAGAAAATGAAATGAAAACAAGGAAGTTAAACTAAGGCTCCTTTACAAAAACCAAATATGGTAAACAGGGATATTTTAAACATAGACGCCATCTCGTCTGACCATTTCACCACAATACACATCTAACAACAACGTACAGGTAAACCTAGCATCTTTGTCTCTTTCAAAAAATCATTTTTACACAACAGTG